AGCGCGGGTTCCGCCTGAGGCGACTGCGTCAGGTGAGCCTGACGTCCCGGGAGGGTCCTCTGGCCGGAGAGTGAAACATCGGACGGGGTCTGCCCGGCATTCGTCGTGGATACAACGTGGGTTGTGTTCCCATTGCCGTTCTTCAGTTGTCAGCCGTGTGCCGTCAGACTGGCAGAGCGTTTCAGGTGAAGTCTGCAGGGACCCGCTCGGCGCCCCGTCCTCGCTGGAGCTGCCGTTCCCGCCTAGAGTGAGGAAATAAGAAGTTGGGTTTGTAACCATGGGTGCTTTGGAGATGTGGCAAACTGAGATGGAAGTCCCAAATCGACTGAAAAAGTGGATGCTGAGGGTGAGACGTTGCCATCAAAGCGAGTCTGGAGGCCACAGCAGAGCTCAGAATGACTCGGTACTTATGCTTTGGCAAAAAAGGCAGAGCGTTGCTCAGGGATGTGTTTATGGTTCGCCTATGAAACGGGAGACATCACAACCCTCCATTCAGCACTAAAGGCCCTTAGTTGTGTCGTGTTAAGTTTTGTCACCCTGCTTTTAAGAAAAAGGTAAATAAACTTACAAAAAGGATAACAAGTGACAGATTTAGGAAACATAATCTATGGAAGACAGTAATTTATGGAAGACAATGGCTCTCTAGAAGAAGATGAGGTATTGAGGTTTTACTTCATTTTTGTGACACTTTTCAGTTAGATGCATCCATAGATTTTGGCTTCTGATTCTGTTTCGGCTATGTAGGGTGCGTGGTTACACCACAGTATGTATGACTGAACAGATGCAACAGGGAGCAGTAAAAGCCTTATAGTTGGGTGAATATTATCCATCCGATTTCTATTAGATGGGTCTGTGACTTTATTGCTGAACAGAGTGTTTTGTCCCAGAATGTGTTTTGTTTTTTAATGGCTCCAAAATCATCTTAAATGTTTGGAAGATTCTTACTTTATGTTAATTTCTTAACCAATTATGTTTAATGTTTCTGTTATCTGTGGTGTTACTTGTTTCACCTTTATGTGTGTGAACTTTTGGGGTTTTGAGCGGATTCCTTTCTCTTGCAATTTTGAAAAGATGGAACAATTTGAGGTGCTGTTTGTTAGTAATTGTGCATTCTGTTAAATTTCAGCGTGGAAGTTGAAAGACCATTCTTAACAACCAAAGGGGTTATGATATCTTTATAACATCTGGTACTTTGTAGAATTTGTTACAACATCAGTCCCTTTTTTTCCTCTGCAAAGATCACAAATCAGACTCAGCTTTAGAATCTCTAAATTATCTTGCTACCAGTTTTTACACTAGGAAAAACTGGTAATGTGAAGTGTTTATTTTACTGAACACATTATAAAAATAGGTTTCCGATATTTACTTTAGAACATATCTATGAGAACTGTCATGGCTCATTGTTGCCTGGGGATTTTGCATGCAGAACAACAGGAATACAGTAGGGATGCGTTCCTATAGGGCACGCTCCATTGAGACATCTGAGATGTCTATTAGTCCTCAGCCAACGTTTAATGTACTCTTCCTTTGACCGAATTACTTGCGTACGAAATTGTTGCCACCTCAGTTCTGAGTTTTCTGGATATTGCATAGTTTACCCCATAAGAAGTGATCCACGATATGTCCCTACCTAATGAATTTTCTGTTGTTTTTTATTCTAATGTAAGTATGGGAAGTATGAGGAAATAAGGTCTTAAAAATCTTGAAGAAATGCCAGAGTCATCACACATGACAGGGCCTGTGGGTGGGGAAAAAAAAAGGAATGAATAGGACACATGCAAACACACACAAGTGAGGTTGAGAGCATTGTATCCACAAAAAAGTGTAAGAGAAAGGGATTGAGGCACACGTTTAACTCTGTTGAGCAAAATTTGTGCCACATTTTGTTGTGAAGACTTTCAAGGAAAAACTTTCTCTGGAAGCCTGAGAATAATGGTGCCTTGTATTTTGGGAAAAGATAGGAAAGGAGTGAATGGATTTCCAAATTACTGGCATAAAGACTTGAAACCCATGTGAACAGCCAGGATTGTGTGCTGAAATCTCATTAGCAGCCCCCTAAGCAATTAGCTGGAAGCATTTTAAATGTCTGTCACAGTTTCTCAGGATTGTGTGTCTTTAAACAGGGATGGTGCTGATGGTAGCAATGAAGGCCAGATGACAGATGGCATGAATGTAGCCATTCCTGACAGAGCTACGTCTTCTCATAAAAATGAAGACCTGTCTGATGATGAACTGGATGAGTATGATTTGGAAAATTACGATGAAGAGGAATACGTAGGTAAGAAAAATTTAAACAGCCGATATACAGTGTAAGTGAAGAACCTTTTCACTACTTCTTGTTCTTAAGACATTAGTATCCTAAAGCTACCCAGTGCTATGTCTCAAATGCTGGAAATTCACATATTTAATTATTTGCCTGTCCCAGTTTCGGAAGTCATGTAGTGAGTGAAACAATTCAGTGTCCCCCTCCCTGACACTAGAATCGAGAGCAGTGTTGGAAAGACTGTCACTCCCCCTGCTGTAGTGCTGGAGCAGAGCAGCAGAAGTCCCTGAAAGCGCTAAGCAGTTTAGCTTACTGCGGTTCTTACATTTGCATTTAGCCTGCTCCTGATACGTTGCAATGCAGGTAATACAGGTGTTGGTACAGGAGTTTCTAACTTCATCTGTCATTGACATGAATAAAAACGTTCTGAAATTCCCATCTAGGTGAGATAAAACTTGGAGACACTTTGGCTACTCTGGCAGTGTATGGGAGTAATGATCAGGATCCTTACATCACTCTAAAAACCACCGTAAGTACTGTAAAAATGTTAAATATCTTGAAACAGCATAAACTTAAAAATCAGTTAAATTTTCCACACTGCCTTAGGTTCTGTAAGTGCTTACAGTCCTTTTCCAAAGGTGTGCCAGTTTTTTGATCATATGGAACTCTTTTTCTTTTAAAGTTGCTTTGTGCAGTCCCCTCTGTATGTGCTTTTTTATGTTTAAGTCAAATGCTAAGGCGAACTGGCTTCTTATTTAAGCGACATGTTTCTTCTGTATATGGAGGTGATTTGTCACCTGTCTACTAGGACCCAGAAAATACTCGAAGAAAAAACAAATCTCAGCATCTCAGGCCACTAACGACCCAAATTAGAAAACTTCCCAGATTGCAAGACTCTCACACCTTCCACTGGTTTGTGGAAGAAACCAAGCTGAGGTGGACTCAGGCTACGTGTCAAATTAGCATGAAGAAATAAGTCCCTGTTCTTAAACATATATGCACAGCATTCTGTGTAGGTGACTGTTTCTGCCTATACTAGTTTCTACCAAGTATCAGATGGGGAACATCTTTGCAGGAGCTGGCTTTGTAGGAGCTCTGCTAACATTGGTATTGCCTTAGCTAGCATATTGGGTGCCTCTTCAGAAAAGATACGGGGAGACTCCAGAGAATATCCAGCAGTTTAGTTGAGAAGGATATATTGCAACTTTTAATTGTCTTAATTTACATGGAGAGATGACACAAATCAGTTCCAAGGTGAGGTTGTGTGAGGAGAGACAATGTAATCTAGAGAGCAACTAGGAGAGAATGTGATCATCTGGGGCAGGGTGATAGAGTAGGTGAATTTTTGAGACCTCTTCTAAGCATAAAGATTCTGAGATTTTTCTGGGTGCTGTCCTTTCTATACTATTTTGAATTCTTTACAAAGCTGGTAAGATTGAAAGAAAAAAGTAGCTGTAGGCTTCTACCACAGCGTCTGTTTGTGTGTCAGGGGACTTTGTCAAACATGCGTGGTCTCAGACGAAGAGTTGTTATGGTGACTTCACATACTGAAACGAGCTCAAGGAGGAAAGCGTGTGCCTTGTCTTTAAAATAAGTTCACTTGCTATGTGCATTTTGGGGCCTTCTATGTTTTCTCTGCATTCCACTGACTGGTTGTGATTTTTCTTGCTCTTGTGTACCAGGAGAGGAGAGAAATGCTTTAAGAGTGATTTTTATGGTCAAAGAGGTATTCACACAGGGATTTGGGGAGAATATGAGCTGCATTTATTCTGTGTCAGAAAAGCTAACTTCCAGACATAAAAAGTGAACACCTTTTTCTCAGGCCTTTCTTCCTACGCTCAAGTCCTTTCCTCAGATTCTGAAAGAGAATACTTTTCAGTGCTTCAGCATGCATTTTATGTTGTCTTTTGGTATTTAATACTAGTACTGTAGCTGAAGACTACCATAATGAAGTACTGTGGAGCATTAAGTTGATTAATTCAAAGAATTGCAGTACTTGATAGAATTCAAGTATTGAAAAGGTGCTTGAAGTGAATAAAAAAGAAATTAAAAGCTTGCAACAACAAGTCCAAAAACTCTGGTATGTGTTGTATATTTGAAAGGTGGTACTCTGTTTGTGTAAGACTATTGACTTTTTTATGTACAGTTCTTCATTTTCCACTAGCAAAAATTCCCTGAATGCCATCCATTCCTCAGTGACAATGAAAATTAGATCAGAGGTTACATCTGTTCTGGTATAGCTGAGTGCCAGTATAGCTGTAGGCAGTACTTTTCTGGAAATATTTTCCAGAAAGTAGACAATGCTTTAATGCTCTTGGAATTGCTTCGTGGATGTGAGGAGCAGTTACAATATACTTATTGTGTAAAAAGTTGTTACACTACATACACGCTCAAGGCATGAGAGCGCAAGGGAAATACGCCATGTATGTGGGCTCCTGGTGGTTATTCACTTTCTAGCAACGAGCTGCATTATGGTAGCCTCAAAAGATAGTTTCATATTTGGTAATTAAACGTCTCTCTAAATCCACCTAGGTCCACATAAACAGTCCTTCAGTCTGTACAATAACTATTCATTCTCCCCATGATTGAGTCTGGTTCCTGTCTTTCTCTGTTTACCACCATAAGATGGTTTTAGGTGGGTGGGCAGCAGGGTGTTGAGTTTTGAGTGTTTTCCGGTATGGTTAAAATTTCTTACTGATTCAGCCCTTTGCACGTATGTAGTTTGGTGCCTTTATGTGCTTTGGTTAACATCCGTTGTCCTCTCTTTTTTTGCTGTTCAGGATCAATATGAACAGGAGGACTTCTTGATTAAGCCCACCGATAATCTTGTCCTTTGTGGCAAAGTTGATAAAGACTGCTGTAGTTTGGAAGTCCATGGTAAGTAACATAGCATTTGTTCCTTACAGTGAATTTAGGGAATATGTCTTGCCTGTCCTGTTCCATATGGCTGTGTAGAAGGCGAGGAGGTGTTTTTTTCAAAGTTTTTTTTTCTCTCCATCTGCCGTGTGTTTTGTCCTCTTTCCTATGTTATGGTGCTTTAGCCACTTTCCAGAACTAGAGTATTTAATGTGGAGTTACTGTTATTTAGAGGATAGTTTGCCCTTATCAGACTGCATAGTGTTTCCTTTCCTTATTTAATTTCCAGTGACACTCAGAAAATACTATGGCATTTTTATTTGCTGAACATATGATCTGTCTTCCAAACAGTCGTCCTTTCCATGTCATGCAAGATTCCTCGAGTGGTTTGTTGCTGTTTTCTTTTTCCTTGTTTTCTTCTTGCTTCTTTAAATGTGCTTTCCACTGCTAGGAATAGAAGAATCAGCACCTTTATCATCTTAGTTTTAGAAGAGATGATCTGTAATAAGGTCTGAACACCAGTTGTTCTAGAGGTGGGTTTAGTTTTACTGTGTAAAAGACTTTTCTGTTGCAGCCAGGAGTACTACCGAGTGTGCTGAAGTTACCATCTTGTCGTAGGGTGGTTCTTTGGGGGAATTGTTCTGGCTACTTCTGCCATGGCACATGTTTCTGCAAGCAAAGTATTCTGTTTTAAGAAAACAGCAAGACAAAAGTGTTCGAAGGCATCTCTTCAGATACCAGCATCTGGCATTTTGTGTATCTGGATGTGTTTACAAATTTTTTTAACTGTGTTATTTTCCCTGTATAAACTTAAGAAACAATAGCACAGGCTTCTGCAGTTTCTAACATTGGATAGCCCTGTCTTAGTTAATTACTAAGACTACTTAGTTAACTGAAGAGTTTAGTCAGTATCTGAACGTGTGTCACAGGCACTTAAAAAAGGCACAGTGATTTTGTGTGCATGATTATACCATTTTATTAAAATAATTAATGGGTTCAATCTGCTATCCAGTTAGTAAATTCTTTTATTATAAGGAGAAAAATAGCTGGCTAAAAGGAATGCTGTGTTTAGGAGATGGTTGCTTTACCAGAAATCTTCCTGTACCTCAGTTGGAACCTGCTAAAGGTAACTTCATCTGACTTCTTCAGCTTCCTCTAATTTGAAAACTGTTTTTTTTTTTACCTTAATTTCCCCTTTGATTGCTTCTGGATTTACTTCCTTTTTTAAAAATTTCTGATTCTAATACGAATGTCTAAACCTTCATTGATGTATCCTGATGTAGAAAGCGGTGGTGGTGGATACAGAGCATCTATTTTGAAGTGATATTACAAAGTAGCATAGTTTGCTAGGAATAAAGTGTCTAACCTTTACTGAGCTTGTCACTTCTTTATCTAAAATACACAGGAGCGTGTTCGTTTCGTGTAATTCTGTAAGGCATAACATTAGTGCTTGGAGGCTCTGGCCTCTACACTAAAACTCTGAACACACAATTTACATTCTAGATCTTCTTGACAATTTCATGTTTGCCTCATCTGCTTTTGCAGAAGTGAACTGTTTACAGTTGCTTGCTTTTCCTCTTCACTGATGTCTTGTATATCTTCAATTCTTTTTCAGTTTATAATCATGAAGAGAGCTCATTTTATGTACATCATGATATTATCTTGCCTGCTTACCCTCTAAGTCTGGAGTGGTTGAATTTTGATCCTAGTCTTGATGGATCACTAGGTAAAGTACAAAGGATACTGTAAATGTCCAGTTAAATAGTTTTTGCTTGAAAAGTATATAAATGTAATGTTGTCATTAAATAATTTCCTCTGGTGGTACGAGCAAAAATAAAACCAAGATACTAAGATGGAAAAACTGAATATAAGGTTGTTTTTTTTTTTTTCTGGTTTGGGGATACAGTCATCTTAGGATGCTGCCATAACAAGTGATTTGACTAAAATGCTGGGTTTATTACAAATAATTAAGTAATTGTCAATTAGCAGACCAGAGCAAGGTCTTCTCTAATCTGCTTTATTTTCCATTTGCAACTGAAAGGTTGCTTTTGTTCACAGTCATTATGGCCAATGCAGTTGGTTAACTGTAAAACACAGCAAAATTTATATATATTTATGTATTTAATAACCTTTTTGCTGTGTTTTACAGATTTTTTTTTTTTCCATAGCACAGGGAATGTGTTTTGGGTTTTTTTTTTCACTTAAAAGACCAAACAAAACATGGAGCTTTATACAGCTTCTTTGAACAGTTACTTGTACTGAAGAGGAAGTGTATTGGAGAGCAAGTAAGTTTTTTTCTGGCAATATTTGCTGTCAGTTGGTATTTTTAAATTGATCCTTGTCAGTTATAATCATCAAACATGTTCATACAGAAGATTCTGGAACATAAGTATAAGTTTTACTTAATCAAAGAAATAAGCAACAGCTGGATTGCCAAATATGCTGTTTCATAACTCTATATAAATGTGTTTGTGTTTGGGTTTCTGCTTGTAGGAAATTATGTTGCAGTGGGTAGCATGACCCCCGTTATTGACATCTGGGACCTTGATATAGTAGAATCCTTAGAACCAGTCTTTTCTCTTGGAAGCAAGAAAGGGAAGAAGAAAAAGAAAGTAAAGAAAGTAAGTATTGCAAAATGGTTTATCTGGTTGGATGGAGGAAACATAGAGCAAGGATAATGTCATTATTACTTTTTTCCTACCCTGAAAAAGCATAGATAATCTGGTTTAATTACATCTGTCACGTTGAAAGATGGTGTTTAGACAGGTTACAGAAGATAGTGCCGTGGTCGACTGCAATAGGTTAAAATTAGTGTTTTCCTGTGACTTGGAGAGTTGAAAAGGCGTTGGGCAATAAAGGACAAGGTTGACACTAACAAAATAAATTTACTCAGGATTCACCTCTGTTAGCTTTATCTCTCTAAAATTTAAGCATATTTTAAGCTAGTCATCAAGATTGTCTAAGGTGAATGCGTAGAGACACCCCCAGAGAATGGCTCAATTTCTTTTAGCGGACTGCAGAGAAAACCTTAACTACCAAAAAGGAAGACTGAGGTTTAGACTGGATGCTAAGTTACGTGAGATGCATCTGACCCTCACTGTATGCCTGAATGCATTGTTGTGATTTGTCCAAGTTCTTCGGAATGTAAAAGAAACGTGGAAGATCATATAGGTTAAAACTTCTAGATATTGCTTATAGTAGATGCTTCAGGAAGTGTTTAAAGACTCCCTAGAGTATATAGGGAAGGTGAACACTGGGTATATAGCTAATCTTGGTTTCCCAAACGAAGGAGCGCTGTAGTGTTAGTCAGCTAAAGAACCACTCTGTGTAATTGTGAAGGGGGTTTACTTCTTGAGCTCTCAGACTTTCTGGGTTTAAGAACAATAGAAAAAATATCCTTGGAAAGGGGACTTTGTTCTGTGAAACTTGCTTCTGAAAAATCAGTGAGTTATCAGAATTGCAGTTGGAGATACCATTCATAAATGTTACCTCAATTTGACATGCTAATTGTTCTCGCTGTGGACAATTAAAGCCTGGAATTAAGAACAGAAGAGGAATGGGGTGGCTTATGGGTGGTTTCCAGTTTCTGTCCCACTAAACTTTGAAGCTTAAGCATTTTAAATTAGAATTTGTAGGAGCTGGCAGTTACAAGGACCTAAAGGTCAGTTGGGAGGAGGGAGAGGGAACTTCCAGGAGTGTTTAGAAAGAAGCTGAAGAAGCTGCACATTGGCTGAAGACAACGACATTTCTTCTACTAGCCTGAAGGGTGTAACCAGTTCTGTAAGCCCCACCAGCTGTGAATGGAGCAATATGAGATCTGTGGTAGGAGGCAAGATGTGGGTTCTGCAGAAGCAGTTCTATCAAAAGCCTTGTTGCAACAAGTGAGAATAATTTAAAACATGAAGTTGTTTGTGAAGGCATCAAGGAGTTCATACTACTGTGTTGTAATGCTTGATTTCTGTTGAAGCTGTAATTTTCAAAAGTATGTTGTGTCTGCATATACAGAGTTTATCTTCAGAAGAGACAGTGAAAGGACATACTGATGCTGTGCTTGATCTTTCATGGAATAAACAAAGCAGGTAAAGAATACTTGAACAACAATGGATGGTTACAAATTTGTATACTTAATTAGGCATACATTTTTCACGCAAATCCAAAATCTTAGGAAGTATTATATTGAACTTGAAAGCAGTGCTGAAATGAATCAAGTCTCAAAAATATGTATCCCCCCCCTTTTTTTTTTTAACCAGAAGTCTGAATTTATTCTTTTTTTTAAACCTGTATATTGCTGCAGATCACTTTTTATTTGCAAGTTGTCCAGATGAGGGCAGGGCTAAGGTGGGTCTAAGCCATTTGATATATTGGCTACATTGAGGTCAGATGCACAAATAGGAGAAGCAGAAGGGCTGCCCTGATCTGTGCCCATCTGCCAATGACCTAAAAGACCATTTCAACAGATAGAAGTAGATTTATAGAAGGAACTCCTTGCTATGCTGTTTTTTTCTCTCTGGCTTTTGTGCCAGAGCTGTGAACAGAAAAGAGTGTAAAAGCCCTGATAGCAGAGTTATAGAAATGCCGCTGACCCTTGGGTTATCCTAGGCAGAGAGAATTCCCTGTTGCCTAAATGAACTAGCAATGAAGTGCTGCTATTGAAGCAACACAAAGCTGGCTCGTCTTGGCGGAGAGGTCAAGGACTGGAAATAAAGATGCTGCTATTTTTTATTGCTTAGGTGTTCTTTAACAGTTCAGCTGTCAGAGGATCCTCAGCATGGGCCCTGAAACTGTTCTAGTCAGACACAGGCTGATTTTTTTTAATCTCTGAATTGTCTCTGAAGATAGAGTCAACTCCGTGTACTCCTGATGAGCAGGTGTAAACCTTTGCTTACAATGCTTTGTTATCTAGATATGGAAGAAGGAAACACCCACACAGACATGCAGAAAATGTACAGTAAATGTAATTTAACGGTTGGGCTTGATGATCTTAAAGGTCTTTTCCAACCTAAACAATTCTATGATTCTACAGAAATTGCACTCATAATTTAAAGTGCATTGTCTATTGTTCTTAAATTACGTGTATGCACAGCGTGTGGTAGTGATCATCCCATCAGCGTTACAGAAGAGTAGCTTTCAAGTACCTCAAAACAGTTGTCTAGTGACAGTGTGGAGACAAGTCACTGAAATGTACAGCTACAATAGTTAAGTGTCTGGAATGCATAATTCTGTAATGTGCTGAGTTACAAACTCATTGATACTGGTCGATCTTTCAGGAAATAAAGCCAGCCTTGAAGTGGGAAGCTTAGGGGCAAAACAAGGAACTCCTGGCAGCAGCTGTATTTAAACGTTTTTAGTTATTTTTTTTAAGCAAGACATACTGTGACAGCTCTCTATAAATAACTTTCTGCCTGTGGGTCATAATGATGTTACTGTAAAATGTTCTCATAGCCTTCACTATGCATATTCTCAACTTTCCCTTGGAACAGTGTTTGGGAGAACAGTGTTTGGGAAAACAGTGTTTCCAGGAGAATGTTAGCTCTTTCAGTCAGAAACACTTGGTTGGTAATAAAAAAAAAAAAAAAAAGGTGTGCAGGGAGCAGTTTCAATCAGAAACAGCATAGTGAGGTAATAGAATGGTATTAATTGTACTGTGTATTTGACAGGCCTTTTGGGAATGTTTTCAGTTTTTTTCTGATTAAATTTCGAAACTGTATGTTTATTGCTTTAACACAATTGGTCAAATTTAAGTTGAAGTGTGGGATCTGCAAACTAAAGTGTTTGTATCTGTATAAAGATTTTTGAAACTTATTTTCTCATCCTTTATCAGGAATGTTTTAGCAAGTGCGTCTGCTGACAATACTGTGGTTCTGTGGGATATGTCTGTGGGTAAGCCAGCAGCCAGTCTGATGCTGCATACAGACAAGGTATGTAATAATTGATGTTTCTTCCACTGTAAAATATAGAGAAAAAAATAACTGCAGTTTTTCATTTAGCTGCTTGGTAGTGAACCCTTAGAACAACCATTCTGTAATTTTCTAACAACTGTGCAGAATTCTTTGAATTTCTGAAGTAGTTGCTTTGGCAAACAACACCCTATTTGCTTTTAAAAATGTCACTTAACTTATCCTGTAGAAAGTTTGCAAAGATTTACAGCAGTTATTTTAAAATGCCTTTTGTGTGGAAGCCCTGATGGTTGGGAATCTAATAGCTATAAGCTCCTAAAAAGAGATCTCTGAGCATAGGTCAAACTGTAACTCTCTCTTACAGGAAAGAATGCATGTCAGTTACGGTTTGTTCCAGATACGAAAGGTTTAAAATAAATGATACTGAAATACCATAGTGATGGGTACTTCAGAAACGAATTAATCCCATAGTAATTAAAATGTGAAAATTAGTTATTAATAGCTGTAACCTTATTTTGCTGTTAACAAAGTCACTGCCCTTGGCAAACTCCCGATTTTAATTTTTTGCTAACATCTGCATTTTTCCCCAAACTGGAAGCAGCTATTCTTTTACCTCCTCTTTTGATTTTTTTTTTTTTTTTTTAAATACCTAGGGCAGAAGGGGGGCATGTGGTTCTGTTCAGTTACATTATATTGCAAAATATCTTGTTTCCACTGGGTGGGGGTGTTTGCAATAAAAATCATGTGCATCTCTGGCACTGTTTTATGAAAAATCTGAGTATCAACAAGCTTAACAAGAGAGGGTTTTGTGGGAGAAATGTGCTGGTTTCGGGGATGGGGGGTTGGTGCTCTGTTCTAAGGAAGTTCCTGCATATGTGTGTTATATCTCAGTGCTTATTTTTTAAAATAAAATCTTCTGTTATCTAGGTCCAGACAGTGCAATTTCATCCGTTTGAAACTCAGACCCTTATTTCTGGATCTTATGATAAGTATGTCAGGGTAATATTTTCAAATGTTACACGTAGGGAGGGTATTAGTATTGAATTAAAGCCCATTAAGTTGCCTCATGTTTTCCTTTTCATTTGCTTATAACTGTGCCAAATTTGAGTAATGCTATTATTTTTTTTCCAGTAAGGTAGCCAGGTTTGTAAGTGGCCAAAATATAATTTTCCTTACCTCTTTCTCAGGAGTAGCCAAATCCTTTAACCATCTGGACTGGCATTTTCTGTGCCAGGTCTGTTCCAAACTGACTTTATTTCTTAATTTGGCCTTACAGCATTTTCTGCGTTGGGAATGTGTCACTGGTCCTTCTTGCAAAAACTTGTCAAGGTTTTGCCAAACTGTAAGAGCAGGGTGGGGGCATGAGGGACTTTAAAAGCCTAGTCCACTCCCTACAGGCTCTATTAATAGGCATGCTATAGCCAAAGTTTAACGGGCTGTCTCCCGTGATTGCAGCTTGGAGATGCTGTGAAATGGTTTGTGTCTGCACACTTAAACTAGCTCTGTAGCTCCTAGTTTTTATAAGCCCTGCCAGCCCAAAAACTTCCCCTCCCATCTCCTAGGGGTAACTTTTTAATTTTGTTCTATAAACACAATATTTTTATATATTTTTTTTATTCTTTGTTATTCTATTTTTCTAGTTTTCTATTCATTTTTTTATTCTTCTTTCTTTTATATCAATTTTTTTATTACTTTGTCCTTGTGTTAAAGTATTTAAAGACTTGTCAATCTTTAGCCAAGCCTTTATGTTCTCTGGCTTGTATTATGCTCTGCTACATCTGCTAAAGTAAAAGTGTTGGAGCCAAAAACCTTTATTGTTGTTAGGAACCTGCTTCTGTCCACTTTCCTCCCCCTCGACTTCCTTCCGTAAAAATAAGCAAAAAGTCCAAACACTGAGACCAGCTTCTCGGTCCCTTTTTAGCAAGCCCTTTGATCCCACTGACACCTATAAACCGGTGTACTGTCGCTTATGAATTATAGACTGCCTTTGTGGATTTTTCCTGTAAAGCTTCCCAGGACCACAGGCTATTCAATGGATATTGGCAGGTACCTTCATAACCTGAAAGTCAGACGGTTCAAAATTGCGTGTGCACTAAAACTGTTGTTGTAAAATGCCTGGTAAAAGAGCTGAGAAATATAGATCGCATTTCTTTGGCTTTAATTATGGGATGGAGTGGGAGTGGGTTACACTGTGGATGTAAATTGTGGTGAGATGTTGTGAGAGTGACATCATCGCTCCTTTCTTGCATTTGCATCCAGGGGCTTTTTGAGCTGGGACAGATTCTGCTCCCACTGGGCTAAGCGCAAGCCCATAAAGAATCCCAAAGACCCCACTAACTCCCATCTGCTCTTTCTCTTCTTTGGAGCAGTGTTTCCCTCACCACTTGTAAAGATTAATTTTTTTTTATTAAACTATATTTGAAAATGTTTGTGTATGTATTGCAAATTGATTTCCTAATTAGTGCATTATTTTGAACAGTCGTTACTTGAGTTTACTGAAGCCTGTTCATAATTAAGTGATATATTTGCATAGTTATGGTCTCCTGTATGATAAGTTTCTCATGTATTGAGAGCAAATTAGAGCTCTGTTTGCTGAAATGGAACGGCCGTTTGTAACCAAGATGAAACTTTGAAGCATATGGAAAAACCTTGTGCTTACCTGAGAAATTTTCATCTGTTATTGGAAGGCTTTATAGTGAAGTTGTTGCCATTTTAATTTTTGAATTGTAGTTCACATTGACCTTCCATGCATGCCAGTGGTAAAACAAACTTCATAAAGTATTCTGCCGTGATTTTTTTTTTTTTTTCATAATTTCCTATCACTTTTTCCCATAGATCAGCTGTGCTGTACGATTGCAGGAACCCACAAGATAACCATCGAATATGGCGGTTTAGTGGTCAGGTTGAAAGAGTAACCTGGAATCATTTCTCACCTTGCAATTTCTTAGTGAGTACATGCTCTTCTGTTCTTGGTCTGTTGACTGTTGCCATGTCATTTAACCTGGTTTTTTGTGTTCATAATGTTTCTGAATCATATAATGGACCTGTTGGACAGTTGTACTGTTGGCACTGCTTATCTTAAAAATGCAGTTTGTGGGAGGATGGTTTAAGTCGTTTTTTCAACAAGCGTTCCAAGACCAGCTACTTATTTGGTATCTCCATGATGACAGTACAAAAGCAATTGATATTGATGCATTTTTACTCCTGAGGTGGCTTCTTTGCCATGCTGATACAGTGTTCAGTGGCTGGGATATATTTTCCTTTGCATAGCTGCTGTTGTGTTTCATGTAATGAGGCAACTGCAGCTGAGAACAAAGATCCTGAATATTAATTCAGTGTTTCAAATAAGCGCTAGAGGGCACCATCCTCCTAGCTGGTACAGAGTAAAAATACCTTGTTTTTGTCGAGATTTTTATAATAAAACTTTTAAATAGAATTTAAAACCAAATCTTTTTATTATTTCAGTGGCTCTCTAGTTCTCTGTTGCTTTGTGTATACAGCCAACAAAAGCAGTTGCTCCATTCTGTTGGGTTTACGATGTGGATCTCCCTCAGTATAATCACACTTAGCTTTGCACCTGGCTATTACACAGCCACAGGATGGCTCCAGAAAGTTTGAACTGACAGTTAAGAGGCTAAAGGCTCTGTATTTCATTGCCTAACGAGAAAGCCATCTTAAAAATACAATTGAAGAAATTCGTATAGGATTGAGACTTGCATGTAAGTCCCTGCAGCGTAGTTTAGGTAGGTAGAATAGCTCGGGCACCAGCTGGGTGGAGTCTGACTTTGGGGATGCAGAACTGTGTACGCTGTGTGATATGCCCTACCCAGAAGTAGTGTAAGCCTGTCTCAAACCACAGGGAACTGGTAGAGGGTGGTGGGTATTATTTCACAGGAGCTTCTTTCCAAATGAGTGACTACGGCTGTTTGTTTTTAAAATGTTGTGGTTTCTTAGGCAAGCACAGAGGACGGCTTTGTGTACTGTCTGGATGCTCGGTCTGATAAGCCACTGTTTACGCTGAAAGCTCACAATGAAGAGGTGTCAGGTAAATTGCTCGTGCCTTGTGTTTGTCCCCAGGGGGAGGGACTTCTGGAAGACGTCTTTAACAGATACAACTGAGGTGGTAGTGATTCCTTGCTTAACAGATGGGAGTTGTGCATGCACGGGTAGCTGGTGCATGAAACAAATCTCTGCTGGGAAGCCATTCTAAGCAAAGTATTTTAACAGCTGTGAACTTTTCTGGGTGACTATCATGAATAAGCATGTCAAAACTTCACTTGGGGCACGCTCCCTGTGGTTTTTTGGGTGAGGAAGAACAAAAGCTATGCAATCTGGTCCAGGAGTATGAACTGTAATGTTTACCTCCTGTAGCCATAATTATTTTACACTGATGTTCAGTCTGGAGGTGATTTAGGTATGGCGCATGGGAAGGTTTTCACGCTGCCTCCTTTAGGCTACTTGCACTATTTGATCAGCTTAAGAGCTTCTAAATAGCAACTTGAAGCACCCGATCAGGTGTCCAAAATGAGATCGTATGAATATGCCCCATCGTCTTGGACAGCTAAAGAGATGGTCTTTGGCAAATAAACGAAGAAAACTACCTGGGGAAGCCAGATTATGTGAAGTAAGGAGCAGAACGGTGGCATCTTTGCACTGTTACTGTTGTGGGATTGAGAGACAAAACAGGCCTACCTGAAGTCAGTTTGCTCTCACTACGGGGAGCAGTGGCAGCGTGAAGCTGCCATTAACTTTTTGCTCCTTTGCACTGGAACAGAGTTTAGTGCGAGGAGGTTATTAGGTTTGTTCTCATGACTTCAAAACATATCCTTGTCTCTGTGAAATAGTGGTCACCTGGCGCTCTCACACTGCTGCGCTCTTCATCTTCCAGGGCTACAACTAAGCAGTCAGATCAAAGGGTGCCTTGTGACATCATCTGCTGACAAATACGTGAAGATTTGGGATATCCTGGGAGACAGACCAAGTTTAATCCACTCCAAGAATATGAAAATGGTAGAGTAATATTAATTTCTTGATTCCAAGAAGGTTTATATATCAACTGTGTCTGCTTAATCTTTTGTCTAACTTGGATCTTATTTTACAGAATGTAACATCTTTTAGGGGGGGAAAAAAAATCACATCTCTGTTTTCTGGGTAAATCATGCTCATTACAGTGCAGTGTTCAGTTCAACGTGTAACTGGCAGCCTGCTTCAAAGCCTCAGACCTGAGCACCAGGTCCTCCAGCGTGTACCCGCCAGGTTGAAGACAAAGATGTGATTTACTGTTTGTAATTAGCAGCTGTTGACTTTAATTTTGTGTCTTTATAAAATAAGCTTCCAGAAACATACAGAGCTTACATTTGTTAAAACTTGCTCAGTGAAAGTAGTTTCAGATGACAAATTAATTTTAGGATGATACTTTAAAAAAATCCTCCTCTTTCTGCCTCCCTCCCAGGGTGTTGTATTATGTGCAGCTTGCTGCCCTGACTTCCCGTTTGTTTTTGCCTTTGGAGGGGAGCGACAAGGGCTGCGCGTTTGGGATATAAGCAAGATTGCTGCAGGTAACGTTCTCATTTCTCTGAATCTGGTGGTTCTCCCCTTGCCCCCAGGGTGTATTTGTATATTCAGTAATGTACTGTGGCTCCAAGAGAAACGGTAGATTAATTTTTAAATACCCCAAGACTGCGTATGTGTTCATGTTTTCAGCTTCAAAAAATGTGGTGGTTTTTTTTCTAGCTTGGAGAACTGTGTTTGCCACATGATTTATTTTCTTGTAGCTGAAGTATAATGCCTTATTTCTTGTAAAACCTGTGTTTTACTTTTTTCTTAATGTTTCTGGTGTAATCAAGTATCACATGCTTGAGTACCTGTAGGAATAATAGTGAGGACTGGTTTTGATTGGTTGTCGTAGCTACATGTAGCTAAATGGCATGAATTTTTGGAGAAGGCTTTTAAGAGCTTGGTGGAAACCGGAGAGACTAAAACCAGAAATAAATTATTTAAACTTAATGGTTTGCTCTACAAACTCATCCATTTCACAGTACTTAGGTACAGGAATTATGCACAGGGAAACCCCTAGAGATGCTCTGGGGGAGAAATAACAGGACTTGTAATTTCAGTATTGTATGCGGGAGATTGTTCTGACACGGAAGCTGCAACTCCCGACTTGGGGTAAGGGGGAGAGCTTTAAAACTGCACCAGGTTAGGATTCCCATTCTGTGATGCTCACCGTGCTGTACCTGCTGTACTGCTCTTGCCTGTGCAACAGTAACATGCGAGCGATCCCCTCTCTCTGTTGCAGTGAATGAAGTTTTTGGAAACAGAGAGAGACTTGTTCCGGCCTGTGCCAGCTCTGTGGCTTGCAGCTCTGTGGCCAGCAGTAGCAGCAATGATTCAGAGACAGCGATGGAATCGTGATGGACCAAACGTCACAACATCAAAGTAATTAATGGGACATTCCACAAATCCCCCTGTTCGCTGAGAGTTCGTAGAAACAGCTCCAGTGTCTTGCAATCTGCAGGGTTCTTCATCTCTGACAAAGAAACACGGTGATGTGGTTAAGCTCTAAGTCAGCAGTTCTAAGTTCCTGCCTCTGTTACCAGCTTTGAAAGATTAAATCGCTTGCTTTTGCCTGAGATTATGATCCCTGAAACAGGGGCCACTATGTGTGAAGTTGATACATCAAGTGAAATAGTCACTAGAAAAGCGTCCTGCTGCTACCAGAAGTTTGCTGGATACTGCAAAGAAGGTAAATGTCTTCTAAAGGCATAAGGAAAAATACTTCAGACAACAGTTGTGTAATAAATAAACAAAAGCTGAGTGAAATGACAAGTATAAATAGGTAGTTTATCCCGAATTCAAGGCTAGATTTATACAGATTTTAAAAGTTCTTCTATGTAACTTTTTTTAAAGTCTTAAGAGCATTCCGTGGGCAGTAGGTTAGAGTGCCTCAGTAGAATCTGGAAATGTACCCGTAAGGCCTCAGATCACCAATATCAAACCAGAAATATCCCAGCTCTATCCCATCAGGATCAAGGGTTTCTTTTCCCTGGTCCCGCAGCACCTGAAGCTTGTTGATGTTGCCTTTTCTTCAAGCTCCGAAGGTAACACATACATAAAGAGCATTTGAGCTGAAATAAGGAGCTGTGGCTCAGAAGAGGGTGAGAGGCTGTCAGGTCACAAAGCGAAGGTAGGGATCTTGCTGGTCACTGCCACCGGTGAAAGCTGTCCATGTTACTGCTCATGTTCTTAACTCCTCCCAGGCATTTCTGCCTGACACCTGGAAGGCACAGGGGAACGTTTTGAGTATCCGCCTAACCACTGACTTCAACGCTTCATTTATAGCGTCAGGAACCTAGTCAAGGAATGTGACTCAAACAATTGCCTCCCATTTAAAATGAACACCCGAGTGCCTTACCCCACGCCAGAAGTTAAATGATACCTTTACCCTCCTGTGAAATGCTTCCCTCGCTGCGTACTGGAAGGTGTCCATTGAAGTGCTGCTGCTGCTGCAAAAATAAAATGCCCTGGGGTATTAAAGCCACTGATATCCAAGCAGCACTAGCGTCAGCGGGTGTAGTTGACAGCACCTTACCACTGCTTTCCAGCCCAGCTCACGGGAACTCATTCTGGTGAAGTAAAGCAGAGACGTGGTATCAAAACTGCAGGTGGGGAAAAGGCAGGGCTGCAGGTTCCCTTCCTGTCCCTTGGAGGTAAGCAAGTGGCTGCTGGCAAAGCCAGTAGCAGGGCTCTCTCTGCAGGAACCAAGGATATTTGGATGTTGGGATTCCTGCCTCGATCCTTCCTCTGCCAAGCAATAGCGAACAATGTGTGGACAACAACTGACTAACTGCTTTTGAGATGGTGAAAGCACTAGAGCTGCCTCTGTTCAGGTGCTCTCCACTGAGAAGCTGCAAATTTTTCAAAGCTTGCATCTGAAATAAATCTTTCATGTTAAGCTCTTTGAGGGCAGTAATTTCTGTTCTCTCTGCCTCCAGGTATTAATTGGCACTGGAGCTCTGGAAGTTGCTTTTTGTTTCAGGAAGACACCGTGTTACTGGAACAACACATCTTTCCCGTGACTAAACAGCATCCCTGGGCCTTGTCTTCCTGGAGCTTTTTAGTCGCAAGCTGATCCCAGAGGGCAAGCACTGTGCATTTTCAGGTTTGAAGAACGCAGGGAAGTACAGCCTCCAGGGAGCGGAACAGCTGAGCTTAGGCCACTTCTTAGGGCGAGAACTGGAGCCTCTGTCACAAGCAAAGCTCCAGCCACCTCGATCAGAGAACAGCGCTCCACTTACTCTTCTACAGCACAGCCAGGAGCCACACAGTAACTCTACAAGGTTTAAAGCTGCGCCTGTTCGTGGAGGCGTTCCTACCCATACCTTGTCCCAAGAAAGCTTGGGAGAGGCAGATGATGAAAAAGTGGTGTTACTTCTCTCAGCATCCTTCTCGGAAAAGAGGCAACTGTTTCAGAGTGTGTAAATTAAAGAAAGAAAGAACATTAGAAAAGAGCCACATTTTTTTATTTTTTTTAAAAGAAAACAACAGACTGAAATACATCTTGATTCCATAAATAGTATTAGCAGCAAACCCTCCCATCACGCTAGGTGGTAAAAGGTTTACAGCACAAGCAGTAACATACATACACTGTAAACACTGTCCGATCCTCTGTAAGCCTCTTCCTTACCGAGCCTATACAGCCTTTACCTCTCCCCCTGCTTACGTGTTCCCATCAACTAGAGCGGGAAGAGGCGATAACTGTTCTCCAAAAGCCCATTTTTGATTTTCTGTAGCAGGGTAATTGCTTTGTCTGCAACTGCTCATTTCACTGGTGCTTTTTTTACTTTTTTTTTTTAATCCAAACCCTTTATTTTTAGAAGGAAGCCTGAGCATCAACAGTCTTTGCTCTGTGCCAAACTGCCTCCTTCAGTTAAAAAGTATTAAAAAAGAAAAATGTGTCAACTGCCACCACCACTTTTTTTGTTTTTCCTATTGTCATGGCTTTGGCAGTTCAGGGCAGTTGGCTTACAGGTCTGTGCACGCGCTTGACTCCATTTCTGGGTTGTGGCTCTTCACTGAAAGGGCTATGCAAGGTGTGTCGTGTATCCCGGCACTGGATGGATTAATCTGAGCGATTTGGAAAAGAAGTATGCACAGTGTGTGTGAAGAAAAATCTCCTTGCCCCGTATTTCCTTCTTAGCAACTGTTCACGTGCATGATCCGTTCTTGATCAGTGGTTTTGGCTACAGAGTTTATTAAGCGGTGGTAGTGCGGAGACCAAAACAGAAGAAAAACTCCTCATGTGACGTATGCTGTCAGCTGGGGAAACAAGGAAGAGGGGATTTTTTTTTTTTCCTTTCCCAGTTTTAACATCCAAGAAAATTGCCCTCTTTCTTCTCTTCATTTGTGTCCAGAGAGGGCATCACCCGTTGAATAGACTCCATTGTTAATCCTACAGTCTTCAGTCCTCATAGAGTCTATTAATTCCTCCTCTGAATCCTCCTCCTCTTCCTCCTCTGGGGCCGACAGGCTGGACGTGGGGCCTTTACATATTTTTAAGTGGCGAGTGAGGTGATATTTGGTTAGGTAAGCCTTGGAGCATTTTTCACAGACATAGTCCCTCTTTCCTTCATGTGAATTGAGATGCTTCTTCAGGTGATTTGTCCTCAGAAACAGCTTGTCACACTTGGGGCACTTGATCTGGCGCTCTCTGCAAGACATGAAAAAGTTACAGTTCGCTCCTTCAGTTAAAAAGTATTAAAAAAGAAAAATGTGTCAACTGCCACCACCACTTTTTTTGTTTTTCCTATTGTCATGGCTTTGGCAGTTCAGGGCAGTTGGCTTACAGGTCTGTGCACGCGCTTGACTCCATTTCTGGGTTGTGGCTCTTCACTGAAAGGGCTATGCAAGGGGTGTCGTGTATCCCGGCACTGGATGGATTAATCTGAGCGATTTGGAAAAGAAGTATGCACAGTGTGTGTGAAGAAAAATCTCCTTGCCCCGTATTTCCTTCTTAGCAACTGTTCACGTGCATGATCCGTTCTTGATCAGTGGTTTTGGCTACAGAGTTTATTAAGCGGTGGTAGTGCGGAGACCAAAACAGAAGAAAAACTCCTCATGTGACGTATGCTGTCAGCTGGGGAAACAAGGAAGAGGGGATTTTTTTTTTTCCTTTCCCAGTTTTAACATCCAAGAAAATTGCCCTCTTTCTTCTCTTCATTTGTGTCCAGAGAGGGCATCACCTGTTGAATAGACTCCATTGTTAATCCTACAGTCTTCAGTCCTCATAGAGTCTATTAATTCCTCCTCTGAATCCTCCTCCTCTTCCTCCTCTGGGGCCGACAGGCTGGACGTGGGGCCTTTACATATTTTTAAGTGGCGAGTGAGGTGATATTTGGTTAGGTAAGCCTTGGAGCATTTTTCACAGACATAGTCCCTCTTTCCTTCATGTGAATTGAGATGCTTCTTCAGGTGATTTGTCCTCAGAAACAGCTTGTCACACTTGGGGCACTTGATCTGGCGCTCTCTGCAAGACATGAAAAAGTTACAGTTCGCTCCTGCTGCAAGGCAGCTGATGCTCTATTAAATGGTGGGGGGGTGGCATCAGGAAGGGGGAGAGCGTCAGTCTTGCTCCTAAATCTTACTTTCAATATACTTGAAGAAGCAGACCAGAAATAACAGCACTACTGCGGCACTGAAGTGTAAATACTGCTCGGCTCTCTCTCACGTGGTATGTACACAAAGCCCCTCAGCATCACTGGCAAAAGTCAGGCTGTTTGGAGGAACTGCCACCTTGCAACCAACCGTTTTTCTTTCCTGATGTTAACTTAAAGGATTCCACAAGGGGTTGGTTTGTTTATTTTTTGAGTAAGACCAAACTCTGGTTAAGCTCCATGTTTTGGCAAGGGCAGCGCCATTGCCACGGTGGAAAGGTGAGTCCCACCCTGCATAAACAGGGAGGAAAAAAAAAAACAACCAAAAAAAGAAAATAAAGCTGCAGTCTTAATAACCCTCAGTCTGTAAGTGCTAAGCAGAGGCTTACCAGACCACAACAGTCAGATTCAGTAGATGACTGTGCAAAACGCCTCCCAGCAGTAGTGCTCCTGGCTCTGGCCGTATGAACAAGCAGCAAAGCAAGTCTGTCTGTCTGTCTGCCTCTCACTCGCGCTAGCTGCACTACGCTGGCTCCTAGGCAGCATGACAGAAGCGGCCATCAATTCCAAGTGAGTACAAGAACCAGATGCTGAAAACGAAATAAGCAGAGGGACTAGCTTTGGGCAAGCAGCCTTTAAGGGAGCAGGTAGCCTTGGACTGGGAGTAACTAAACAGGATAGAGAAATTCTCACAGCAAATGGCAAGATCTGGCCTGGCAGAGAGCTGAGGGGCTGGGAGAGACCTGTCGGTAATGGGAGGAGGACCTGGGGGCGGGGATCTCCCTGCAGGAGGAGCAGGAGACCCAGTACATGAACGAGACCTGGTGGGAGACAAGAGCTGGGAATGGCTGCACCCTACCCCATTCCTGGTGCAACCAGAGAGGGAAACTTCACTAACGAGCTCCTTGGTGAGAAGAGCACTGAGGAGTTTAAGATTTTTCATGGTCATGTTGGGACATGGAAACAGTTCTCAGCAGAGAACTGAATGTGAATCAATTAACCCCCCTCTCTCTTCAAAAGGATAAACACTCCAGGATGCCATTTCACAAGACAAGGTGCACGCCTGGAATTTACCGTGGCGTTAAAATATTGCAAACACTAGAATAGGACAACTTCAGCCACGTACAAGGAATTTGTCCAGACTGACTTCTCTGTCATTTTAGAGGCTGCGCCTGGGCCAAAGTATTTGCAAACTGCAGATTCTCTCTTGGGCTGTTGAGCTTCATTATTTATTGCACCGGCCACTCCAGCACATCCTGTGAGATCACTTACTGCGTGTGAGTGAGTACGTGCTGCTTGAGGTCCTGCCTCCGCATGAACAGCTTTTCGCAGTAATCGCACTTCAGATTCTTCTCCCCCGTGTGGATGACCATGTGCGATTCCAGGTGAGCCTTCTGGGTGAACGATTTGTCGCAGAGGGTACAGCGATAATTCTTCTGGCCTAGGATTACATATGTACACCCACAAATTGACAGTCAGTGTCCCAAGAGATACAGTAAGCAAACAAGCCCGACTGCTTCTGAAAAATAAAATTCTACCCCGAAGAAAGGCAGATTCTTTGCGAACAGGACCTGTTTTCTCCTGCAGTTCCTTCAGACTCAGCACAAAGGCCTTACCTAATTACAATCTAGATTTAGCTATGCAAAAAACAGGCATCTGACTTCATTTCATCGTTCCCAAAGCTTTTCACCCCTCACCCCATACCCCCAAGTCAAAAAAACCCGCTTGATGCTACTGTTTTGACCC